GGGGAGAGGCAGCTATAAACAAACAGGGGCTGTACAGTAGAAAAATTCAGAATAAGGTCTGGCCTGGATACATTTGCAATTCAGGGCTTTTCTGCAGTTGCCCTTTTCCTGTAGGGCATACTGCAGAACATTAAGTAGCAGAAAGATAAAAGGGTATCTTTCTCCAGTAGTGCCTGGCAGTTGACTGGGGTTGTTTAATCGCTTTCCTGAGCATGTAGAAGACAAGAGGAAGAGGGAGGCATGTTCTCCCAGCACAAGAGCTTTGCTGTGTAGCACGTGAGCTTTCTGGTTTCTTCTAACGTCCCCCTTCTCCTTTCTAGAGTGAGAGAAGCCTAACTTGAGCTTCCTGTTTCACTCTGTAACTTCCGTTCTGTTCAAATTGAGTTCAGGCCACAGCTTGCTGTTTGCTGTTGGGGTCGTTCTCATGGGATGTCAGTTCTCAGCTGTACTCCAGGGGAACCAATATAACAATGAAGCTTTTCAGGTAAAGCAGTCTCTCAGGAGAGTGTGGCTCGGAGGTGGGTTGGGAGAGAAAGAATATCTCCTGTGTTTTAGAGACTTGAAAACAGGTGGACCTTGTTTGGTCTGTTTAAGGAGCCTATAGTGATTCGCTCTGACCTGTCTAAATCAGTTTGCTCTAACAAAAGGCAGCATGGCTAGCTGGGAGAGTGCAGGTGGCTTGCAAAAGCCACAGTGTATCTGTAGTGTGGCTAATTCTGAAGAATTAACTGGTGAGTTGCCAGGCAGATTTCATTGTGAAGTTACATCAGATGTGTAACTGAACACTTCAGAATCTCATACTAGAATTGTGGTTTTGGTATGAAGCTAGGTGCATGATGTATAAAAGTATCCTTGCAGCAATACCTGCAAAGGAATTCCTGTTGCAGGTAACTGTAGGGATGGAACTTGTTAGCGTGTTGTCTTTTTTTGAAGGGGGGAGCAAAACTTGCCAGCTTTGTGGGTGGGGGGACATGGGGGAAGGCAGCTCTATCTGGGACTATTGTATTTGTTGCTCATGGTGACCTGTACTGGCCTATGAGTTCCTTTCTTTCTGTGTCTGTCCAAAATCACAGCTGTAGAGCAGGGACTAGGTCTTTGGTCTGTGCATGATGCTTAGCTCAGTAGTCCTTGCTGGGCTTTATTAAAATAAAGATTGTAATGTATCATTCAATAGTCTAAGTAAGTCATTGTACATGTGACAGTTTAAAAATCAGAAGATTAATTAGAGAGCACCTGACGATCTCTGAATGTTCCCTTTATCTTCAATAAGGCAATGGCTGGCAACAGAAAGCACAAGAGCAGCATTTTTAATAAAACAAACAACTCCACCCAAACAAACAAAAAAAACCCCACACCACCCAAACATGTAATATTTAGGTAGTCTTCTGAAGCAGACTGAAGACTTCAGGAAATTGTTAGGGATGCTTGGTAAGCAAAATAAATACCAGCTTGCTTTTAAAATTCAGTATCTGCCCATTCTAGCTGTGGCTGCAGTGGAACGTTTGATTTTTGTTGTAGTTTTGACATCTTTTTTGCTGGTGATTCTCTGGGGTTTGCTCTTCATTTCCAAGACCACAAGAGGCTGACACCAATTGCTTTCTGTTGCATTAATGTTTATCTCTTCCCCTCAGGATAGGATTTCTGGGACTTGGCCTGATGGGAAGTGGCATTGTCTCCAATTTACTGAAGATGGGTCACACTGTCACTGTCTGGAACCGGACTGCTGAAAAGGTAGGCATGTGCTTAAGGTACAGATGATACTTAACCTTTTCTAAACATGTAGTTACCACCTCTAGCTCAGGGAGGTCTGGAGTCACCAAGCAGTGGTGCCTGCAAGAGGATGCCAAAGAAACATAATTATATGCTTGCCACCTTGTTCTATTATTATTTCCTAGGTGCTTGTTGGTGGCCAGTTTTTACTAGATGAAGCTGTAGTCTGTCCTGGTATGGTCACTCTTATGTGAACAGTCCCCACCCCATTGCCATGTTGTATGAGATGGGAGAGTTGCCAAAAAAATTACAAACTTGTATATGTGTTGAGGAATGTAATGTAAAGTGCCTCTGGAAATACTGCTGATGTAAATAGCCAAGTCATTGTGTCATGGAGCTGGACAAAAAGACCAAGTGCTGGGGAGCTGATCCTAGGAATGGTGTGGTAAGATGCACTGCTTAACCACAGTTTCATCTACACATCCATTGTGCTGTACATGTTGTGGTAACAAAGGTTCTGTTGAAAACCTGCTGTCATAAGACCAGGATGAGAAGGGTTTTATAGGTGTATTCAAAGTGAAAATGGAGCTTATATTGCACTTAGATTCTAGCCAGCATTATCCTTTGTAGTGGAGGAGGAAAAGTAGGTAACTGGGGGAGATGTGGTATTCAGATGATATTGTGGAATATCAAAGGCAAGAAGGGCACCATGGTTACTTTATTAAAAGGGATTAAAAGATTTTTTTTTAACTGCAAAACATGGATGGTATGAGGAGATAGGATAAGAAGGAGCTGAGATTTTGAAGCAGCAGCCTGCTAAAACACGTCTCAGCTGTGCATATTCTTGTTTACTGTCCAGTAAACACCTTTTGCTATGTCTGTTTAGAAATTTTTTCCCCTCATCCAAAACCCACAACATTGAATTTCTTATCATTTCAGCTAAGTGTTCTCTTTTCCTATGTCTTTCTTTTGAAGTTCTTCACTTGGGGTTTCAGAGAAGCTGCAAAAGAGCCCCTTGTGTGTGAGGGTGACAAACCAGCAGAAGACAACCCAGTTGCTGTGTAATTAATACGCCTGACTCTTTTTGAGTTGGTCCAGCAGCAGAGTTTGTTTCAGCAAAATGCTAGAGAACCCATTTGCTCTGTGTTTAATTTTTCTTACGTTTGGATTTGTGACTTTTGCAGTGTGATTTGTTCATCCAGGAGGGGGCACGGCTGGGAAGAACCCCCGCTGAAGTTGTCTCCACCTGTGACATCACCTTTGCCTGTGTATCAGATCCAAAAGCAGCAAAGGATGTAAGGATTAGCTCTTATTTTTTGTCCACCAGCTAGACTACAAGATACAGTCACTGAATGCCAGTTCTGATTCCTACTAACCATGGTAGCCTGGATCATTGTAGATGCTGGGCAGTGCAGCTGTGTAAAAATAAATGTCCCAACAAAAATCATACTACTTAAAAAATAAGCCCTGGGGGGTAGGTTTTGATATCTCTCTAGGAGTCTACCACTGCAGTGCCAGGCTTGCTTGGACAGCTGCAGGATTGAAGTTTCTTTGCAGACACCCTATTGCTTTACCACTCTTCTGTTCCCCACAGCTGGTACTTGGTCCGAGTGGAGTGTTGCAGGGGATTCGCCCAGGGAAGTGTTATGTGGATATGTCCACTGTGGATGCAGATACAGTCACAGAGCTGGCCCAGGTAATCACATTGAACTGGACTTCTAACATCTGTGATTCAGCAGCAGTACTGCAGTTCTTCTTGCTTCAAGCAGTAAGCTGTTGATAATAAATATGCTTCTGAATATTTTTGGGCTTCTTTTAGGAGACGCTCAAGCACCAGGCAAATAAGACAAAATAAACTCAAATCTTGACCAGCAAACAAAGTTGGATGAGATGTTCCCTGGTGATAACAACAAAGCCTGTAGATTTGGCAAGGCTGTTAGCTGGCACCAATGCAAACAGTCAAAATTTTATCCCTTAAGTATTTATAGCCAGATTGGTATTTGGTAGCAAACTGGAGGAGAAAGCACTGTCTGGATTAATAACTACCCTTAAATTGATAAAATGCATAATCTGCTTATTTTAAATGTGCTGGTTGGGGAAAAAGAATGCCTTCATGTTTCATTCTGTAGAAATATTATTATAGAAAGGATTTCTGTAGAAGCTTTCTGATTATTTCTGATGTGGTATCTTTGATTTCCTCTTTGGCATCTTGATTGTTATCCTCTATGCTAAAGGCAGTGTGTGTGGTCGCACAAGGAAGGGGACCTAGTTTTGGTGAAGTTTTAAGCAGATATATTGGTGATGCAGTAGTGTGTAACATGAATTCGGAGAATGAAGACTCATACATATTAGTAAACATCTGGCTGAAGAGATCTGTCAAAGGCCTTTCCTCTTTGGGGAAAAGGGGGGAAAATACCGTAACAATCAATCTTCTGAGATTCCTACACCACGAGTACAACTTCAGCACTGGTTCCTTGGCCATTACAGGGTGCCATGGCAAAAGCACGTAAGTTCCACTGCTTAAAACATGCACAGTAGTGATGGGTGCAGGAAAGTAGTGCTGTAGTGTGAGGGCAACTTTTGGTCTTGAGTACCTTTTGCAGGATGCAGTGCAACACATGTTAGTGCTTTCCTCTCCTGTTTATGTCTGAGCTATTTGTTCTGCTTTAAAATTCTGCCCTCAGGGACAGGAATGCCTAAACAGTGTTCTTGCTGTGCTGCCTACTCAGCATCAGTGCATGCTGTCCATGCACAGCTAACTAGAGATGCTCTTTTTCCAGGTGATAGTGTCCCGGGGTGGTCGCTTTTTGGAAGCACCAGTCTCAGGAAATCAGCAGCTATCTAATGATGGGATGCTTGTGATCCTCGCAGCAGGCGACAGGGGTTTATATGAGGACTGCAGTAGCTGTTTCCAAGCGATGGGGAAGACCTCTTTTTTTCTAGGTAATTGAAACAGGAAGGGCCTGATAGCAGTTTCTTAGTCAGCACAAGGACTGGGAATTCCAGCAAGGGGTCTGAGAGGTATATGTGTCATCTGTTTCTTGTCTCCTTGGGCAGTATGGGGAAACTGGCCTGCTCTTCTGGAACTTGGCTAGTTACAGAGCCTCCAGCCTAAGTTTTCTTTTCTGAATACTGGCTCATTTTGGAGGATCTGTGATGCTTTTTATTTTAAATCATACTTTGTTATGATTTCTCCCTTCCTTTGAGTTCTTGGAAAATGGGTAAGTTTTCTGAAGTTTTTCAGGGGAAGGGAAAGCTGCCAAGTGCTTGATACAAAGAGTCTAGTAGTGTTAATACTGTGTGGGATGGGGGAGCAAGGCTGCTATATCTCTTCTGGAGGAATGCCCAATGGTATGTCTCACTCCCAGGTGAAGTAGGCAATGCTGCCAAGATGATGCTGATTGTGAACATGGTCCAAGGCAGCTTCATGGCAACGATAGCAGAAGGACTGACTTTGGCTCAAGTGACTGGCCAGTCCCAGCAGACCCTTCTGGATATCCTCAATCAGGGACAACTTGCCAGCATCTTCCTGGACCAGAAGTGCCAAAGTAAAGTTCTCTTACATTGTTTTATTATAGGATATTTGCCACAACCTAGCAGCATTTCAGATAATGGCAGAAGGGAGAAAATAACTGTCCCTTCTCATGGGGTTCTGGGTATTTTAAGCATTCTGGAAATGAAGAGCTGAGTTCCATTCCTTCCCCTTCATAGCCAGGGCTTCTGAGAATCTACCCTGAGTTCTGCATTGTTTACAGCCTGCTTAGGACTTGAGTTTACGGTGAGGATTTCATTGGGGCAGGGTAATAAGTGAAATGCAGGGCAAGCTGCTTGGAAATCTGAGCTCATTTTGTCAGTGGGCAACAGTGACATTATCTGCTGTGGCCAGATGAAGATAGAGAGCAGAGAAGCAGAAGACCTAAAAGCAGTGTTCCTGGTGATCAGCATGGGAAAGGGAAGTTTGGTGTTGAATTGCATGCCCTTGCAGTGTGGGCTTAATTTACTTTTTTCATGCTTATTTTTTGCATGCCTTCCTCTCGGCAGATATCTTGCAAGGAAACTTTAAGCCTGATTTCTACTTGAAATACATACAGAAGGATCTTAGATTAGCTATTGCACTGGGCGATTCTGTCAACCACCCAACTCCCATGGCAGCTGCTGCCAACGAGGTGAGAGCTGTTCAGTGTTCAGATATGTGTTACTCAACATTTCTTCAATAGAGCCATTTGTCAACAAGAGACAAAAATCTAAGAATTAGGTCATCTCTAAGACAAGGGAACAGCAACTGAAATATATTTTGACTAGCATGGAATTGTATTTGTTCTGATTGTAGAAGCCCTTAGAATGTCACATCAGTAAACACAGATGGCCTCAACAAGAACTGGTGTGTTCTGATCTGCGCTGCTCTAACTGCTTGACATACTATGCAGTTCCCTGGTTTGCAATGGTCAGCAAAGTAACTTTCTAATTTCTCTTCTCTAGGTCTATAAACGAGCAAAAGCATTGGACCAATCAGACAACGACATGTCTGCAGTGTACAGGGCCTACATCCACTAGGCTGCACAGTTCTTACTATTAATACTATGATTATTGATTAATATTATGATACTGGGTTTTAACTCTGGACCAGTCCATCTCTGTCTCTCCATTTCCTTTTATACACAGACTTTGAGATCTGCCACGGAGGCAGCTGCTGCGGTGAGCCTTCCCCTGGTGGCAGAAGGGGGGGAGGAGGGGGCTCGGATTGTTGCAGTCTAATTAGAAAAATCCATGCCATGCACTGACAGTCATGGAACAGAACAGTGGCGGCTTGTTCAGAAGCTCTGAGGCAACTCTGCCAGAAATCTGCTGCTTGGCTGCTTTTATTTTCCTCTTTGTAAGCTTGTCCAAGATGCCATTTCTAATGATTCCTTTTCTCCTTTGCTGTGAAATAATGCGTGTGTTGGACTCTGCATCAAGGGGACAGGTGACATACATCCCATCTACCTGTGAATATCACTAAAGTCCTTGGTCCCAAGTAAGGGGAGGAGCATTCCTGTTAATCGGCCACTGTTAGAGAACAAAGCACCTCCCATGGAGGAGAATGGCAGTTCCAGAAGGTAATGGGGGTTGCATGCAACACTGTCTTGATTCTGTTTCTTTTAAACTTCCACCTCCCCAGCACCTTGATGGAGGAATTGAGTGTACTCTTAAGAACAACAGATTGCATCCATGTCTTCCCCTGTACAGACAACAATAGCTTAGGGAACACAAACCTTACTGAGAATGCCAGTGTAAATGAGCCTCCTAAATGGCTAATCACAGCTGCCCATCCCACAAACAGCACTGGAGATCAACACGATTGCATAGAAAACTGCAAGAGAAACATGTAGCCTAAAACTGGGCCAGAGATATTTTATTTGGGGAAGGAACAAATCTTAGAGTTGCTCCTGGCCTTAGCTTATGTTGCTTTACTTCTTGCCTTTTTTTTTTTTTTTTAACTCTTGTAGTCAATAATTACAAAGGTGTCTTGGATTGTAGCAGTGTCGCAAGCAGAGTTATGAGTCTGAAAGGGGCGAAGAGAATGATCGTAGAGCCAAGAGATTGTGAATGCTGAGCTCCTTTCCATGCTCTCTCTCTGGCCTTTTCATGGTCATCATATCTCTTAGCCTGTTTGCCCATCTTTAAAGGTGGGTGATGATTACCTACCTCACAGGGATACTTTTGTGTACTGATTAGTGATCTTTATACATGTCAGATTTTCCATACATGTTCTTCATGTTACTACTCTGGGTACAACACTAGCACAGCATGAGACTTTTCCCTGTACCTGTGACTCTGCTTGTGGCCAGATACCAACTTCTAGAAAGACTAGTAAATAAAGTGGGAGGTTAAGACCACTGCTGAGCTTTAGTCTAGAAATGTGGGACTTAAACTGCAGATGCCAAGGCTAGAGAGCAGAGGTGCTCTCAGTGTTGGTAGCAGAGCAACCCAGAGTCCAGATGATGCCTGTCTCTCTAAAAATGCACAGTGTGTGGGGTTTGGTGTGTTGGTTTGGTTTTTTTCTTTTTTTAAATTGTTCTCAGTATTAGCTTTTTAGGAGGGTTCTTGCATTTTAGATGTGAGAGTTAGTAAAATTCCACTAAGAACCTTTATTGGCCAAAAATCACTTCTCAGTGGTACAATCTCCTCCCTTGGGTTGGGATTCTGAAAGGAAAGAAGGCAAATTCAAATTAGACCATGTTCCTTGAAATCTGTGAGGTCTGCCCCTCCCACCATCTTATTTTTCTAGAAATTAAATGGCTGTGTACGGAAGTTTTCCTGTGGGTTAGGATTTCTTACCAATCCTGCTATGTGCAGCATGTGCATATGGTTCAGGGGCATCTTGCTAAGAAACAAAGGAGCTATCAGATACTCATTACAAAGTGTGACATCTAACACCTAATGCTGTAAATGTTACTTTGTTGAATATTTCACCTCCTGTGATCACTTTTTTGTGGGCTAATATTGTGTTATGCATTATGTCCTGTGGTCAACATCTAGTAATAGATCTGTTAGACATCACTTTGCCTGTTTGTCAGTGGTATATGTGAACATTACTAGTTACACATACATGTTTCTTTGGCAGTGCAACTGTCATCCTGCATGTAGATACTCATGTTAAAGGCACATATAACTACCCAGGATAACCAGCCACTAGCCTGCTTTTGACACACTGGGGCTTCCCCCATCCAGAAGAACTTGGCTGTTAGCATCAGAAGTCCTTGGTTAAACATGCCACAGTTAAGAAATCACTTGCATGAATTGTGTATTGAGGGCATCTGGGGCAAATTGTGTTTTTGGGGGCAGGAGATAAGATCACAAGTTTTATAGTGTAAGCAATCTTTTGGAAGAAGGAGATACTGTCTCGGGTCCAGTTGAGAGTGGAACTGTGTTGAACCAGTGCAGCAGCGTCCCCAGCCTGTCCCTGCAGAGGTCTCGGGCCAGAGTGAAGGTGAATGGGTCTGACAAAGATAATGGAGGATCTGCCTCTTCTTTTACTTTGTGGTGCTTCTGGATAGAGTGAGAATACAAAAGGAGCTCTCAAGTCCTGTGATATCTATTTCATAGTGAATTCAAAGAACTGTATTTGCAAGAGGGAGAACCACTCCCTAGGCAACTCACTGCTGCAGGTTTTGTTTTCCAGAAATACTGTAGTTCTCAAAATGGAGGTTGTTATTTATGTGGGAGTGGCAGGTGCAGACTAGTTAAACACTGTAATTTATCCTGGGAAAGTCTGACTGCAGCTTTTTGGTGAGGTAGGTGGATGTAGAGTGGCTGGAGGATGCGGTGTACCCAGCCAACTGTACAATCACAGGTATGCCAGGGAGGAACAGGAGGAGACAGAGGGCTCTGAAGTGGATGCGAAGTGAGGAAGAGGGATGGAAATGGTGAATACCGGACTGTTTCAAATGCTGTTTGAGATGGACTCATGTCAGTCTCACATGGATTGTTGTATTTATGTCTGTAGCCTCTGAACATGGATCTTAATCTGTTCCTAGGCCTGAGATTTGGGGGAGGGAAGGCGGGGAAGCTGTGGATTGAGAGATGCTCTAATAAAACTGGCTAGTCAATGTTGTCTTAATATTGTTGACAATTCTGTAAAGTTCCTTTTTATGAGGATTTCTGTTTTAGCAATTTGCTTTTTTTGACTCCCCCCTTTTTAAAGAGAAAATGTGACACTTGTGAAAAGCTTGTAAGAAAACCAGTTTCTTTTTTTCCTCAATGATAGATCCTATAGTTAATTAAGGTTGTGAATTTTTATTTTTTGCCTTGTTTTTAATTAACGTCATTCAGAATAGGATGTGTGAAAATGTTTAAATGGCAAAACAAAAAGATTTTTTGTGCAATTAACAAAGCTACTGGCAAAAAGAATAAAACCTTTCTTGGTAACACAATGTTCTTGTGGTAGTTTCTAAAGCCTATCAGACCTGTATTGTGGCATTAAAGAAATACGTGTGTTCCTCAAAACATTAAAAAAATCAGAGTTGCCAAAAAACAGCAGTATGCCTGAGAGCATTTTGGTCATTGCAGAAGCCTGATCTTGTCAGTGAGGTGCTACGAAGGATGAATTTGGATAAATTCCAGCCTCCGCATGCAGAGGGCTGTGTGCATCTGGACTGAGAGGAGGATGAAGGCTTAGTTTTAAAGCAAACAATCCTGAGAGATGGAGGTCCAGGAACTTTCTGGTGTTGATGACTTCTTGTGTTGTCTAGGTGTTGGGAGCCTGGTGGCCCAGTTGCTCTGTCTGGAGTATCCTTCCTTCTAGTGTTTGGGGTTTTCTGAGACAAGATCCCTTAACTGAAGTGTTTGCAAGCTGCAGAATATTGCTTTTTGATGATTCAGGCAGTGTTTGCTGTTGAATAGTAGTAGATGTTCATGTACTGAGGCATAATGGGCTAGTAGTGATTAGTTAAAAAAATTACAGCTGCTAAAGTAAGGAGAAACTCAGTTTTAGCACTATGATTAAAAACAATGCAGAAAGTGATGGAGTAAGGTCACTGAATCAGAGTTGCTCACAGCAGGAACTGGCACTACTGGAAGCTTTACCTGCTCTGTGAATGAATAATGCATTCCTTTCCAAAACACACCTTGCTGATGCGGTGAAGAAGATGATGCTGTTTGCTTGGCTACCTTTCACCTGCAGTACACCCAATGTGAAAAGGAACCCACCAAGTTCAATGCAAAGACTTTTAGTATAAATTTATTTCAATTTCAAAATTTTGAGAAGAAACTGTCAAGACTTCCAAGTCTTTACCTATTCTTGAAGATTCTTGCATGTAGCTCGGTTTTATCTTCACCGGTATGCAGTCAGCTATTGTGCAGTGACGTGTGGGGTATGCGAGTGATGGCCGGGCAGTGCTTGATCATACGTGGTAAGACCAAGTACTCCCGGAGGCCGTGCTCTGTGCTCCCGTCTGTACCCCCTGCGGCCTCCCTCTTCTAGCGCCACCCGCAGCCAGCTCCCGCCCGCGTGACGTCTCGCCTTTCTGGCACCGCCCTCGCCACTCCTCGATTGCGAAGGGAGGGCCGTGCTGCCCAATCAGACGCTGTCTCGCCTGCGTTGCCGGGCGGAGGCCGTGC